CTACCTGCTGGTCTCCAATCCCAGGAGATTTAGTTGGTGTGAGCCCTAGAATCTGCATTTTTTAATATAAGCACCCCAGGTGATTCCATTACATGTGGGCTGCAGATCACAGTTTAAAAAAAACAGTGTTCTATAACATTGAATCAAAACTAAAACTACATTTAAGAACCTTGAATCAAAAAGTATGTCATTCCATTAACATTGATATAAAATTTTTTAAATATTCCTTGGGAAAAGATCTTAGCTACATGCTTTTGATCCCCAAGATTAAAATAAAGCTATCACTTCACAATTATTTACTAGACACATTTAAAAAATAAATAGGTAGAAGGTAGAGTATGATGGTAGAATAGAATTCTCCAGAAATGGTCTCTCTGAAGGAACATCAAATTGAACAACTGTCTATGCAAGAAAACACTTTCACAAGAGCTAACCAGGTGAGAGATCACAGCACCTGCTTTTAACATGATAACAAAAAAAGATGATTGAAGAAAGGAGGAAGGACAGTCTTGCATTGCCTATGACACCTCTCCCCCAACCACAGGAAATGCATCTCCAAGAGAGAATCTAATGGGTTGGGGACAAGGAGGAAAATGTGGGACTTTATATTGAAACTTAGTACCATTCTTGCCATAGTGACACATGGCACTGGACAGAACCCCACAGCACTTGATTCCGGGCTGGCGCCCACAAAAGAAGCATTTAGACCCACCCTGGGCCTCAAGGGAATCAGCTGCCCAAGGAGGAAGAACCCACCAAAATTCTGGCCAGCCTTATCACTGGAAATTTCTTAGGCTTCAAATAAATTTCAGCGGCAGGCAGGCTGTAGTCACCGCAGTCCTTGGGCAAGCCCTGATGCTGCATAGATCTAGAAGACCCTGGACTTGGGGTGTGAGCCAGTATGACGGCAGCAGCTGCAGCAGCTATGGGAATGCCTGTATCACCCCTCCCCACACTCCAGGCAGTGCAGCCTGAAGACAGATTCCTTTTGCTTGGAGGAAAGAAAGGGAAGTAAGCTAGGGGCTTTACCTGGGAATGCAGAGAACAATCCACGATCTCCCCCAAGTCCACAGGGCTGGGGACCTAGGAATCTGTAAGAATTGCAGTGTACCTGGGCCTAGGGCGCCCTGTAGTACAAACACGGCTGCAGTGATCACTGGCTTAGGGAACTCGTCAGCCCACTTTGAATTCCTGGAAGGTCCTCTGAAGGGCAGGTGCAAACAAGACCTGACTGCAAAGGCTGAAATAAATACCTTATCCTTCAATGCCCAGATATTGACAAACATCGATAACATTGAAGTCAATATGACCTCAACAAATGGACCAAGTAAGGCACCCAGTGACCAAGCCTGGAGAGATGGAGATGTGTAACCTGTCAGGGAATTCAGAATAGCTATTTTTGAGAAAGCTAAGTGAACTTCAAGAAAACACAGAGAAACAATTCAGAAATATATCAGAAATTTAACAAGGATGCTGAAGTAATAAAAAAAAATCAAACAGATCCTGGAGCGGGAAAATGCATTAGTGGGTCTCAGTAGAGCTGATCAAGCAGAAGAAAGAATTAGTGAGCATGAAAACAAGCTATATTTGAAAACACAGTCAGAGGAGAAAAAAGAATGAGAAGGAACACAGAATGTTTAAGAGATCTAGAGGAGGGCCTCAAAAGGGAAAATCAAAGATTCATTGGCCTTAAAGAGGGGATTGAGAAGGTGCAAAGAGTAGAACGCTTATTCAAAGAAATAATCTTTTTTTTTTTTAATACTTTAAGCTCTACGGTATATGTGCACAATGTGCAGGTTTGTTACATAGGTATACATGTGCCATGTTGGCTTGCTGCACTCATCAACTCGTCATTTACATTAGGTATTTCTCTTAACACTATCCCTCCCCCAGCCCCCCACCCCACAACAGGCCCTGGTGTGTGATGTTCCCCTCCCTGTGTCCCTGTGTCAACTCCCACTTAAGAGTGAGAACGTGTAGAGTTTGGTTTTCTTTTCTTGTGATATTTTTCTGAGAATGATGGTTTCCAGCTTCATCCATGACCCTGAAAAGACATGAACTCATCCTTTTTTATGGCTGCATAGTAGTCCTTGGTGTATATGTGCCACATTTTCTTTATCTAGTCTATTATTGATGGATATTTGGGTTTGTTCCAAGTCTTTGCTATTGTGAATAGTGCCGCAATAAACATAGATGTGTGTGTGTCTTTATAGCAGCATGATTTATAATCTTTTGGGTATATACCGAGTAATGGGATGGCTGGGTCAAATGGTATTTCTAGTTCTAGATCCTTGAGGAATTGCCACGCTGTCTTCCACAATGGTTGAACTAATTTATACTCCCACCAACGGTGTAAAAGCGTTCCTATTTCTCCACATCCTCTCCAGCATCTGTTGTTTCCTGACTTTTTAGGGATCGTCATTCTAACTGGCGTGAATGGTATCTCATTGTTTTGATATGGTTTTGATTTGCATTTCTGTGAAGTCAGGTAGCATGATGCCTCTAGCTTTGTTCTTTTTGCTTAGGATTGTCTTGGCAATGCGGGCTCTTTTTTGGTTCCATATGAACTTT